TGCCCTTACAGCCTCCCTAAGGGTGCCCCTTACAGCCACCTTAAGGGTGCCCTCACAGCCTCCCTAAGGGTGCCCTTACATCCTCCATAAGGGTGCCCCTTACAGCCTCCCTAAGGGTGCCCTTACAGCCTCCCTAAGGGAAGTGAAATCCTGCAAGAGTCAAAGAGAGAGAAAGATCTGGGGGTTGATATCACACTGAACCTGTCCCCCAGAGGCCCACATCAAAAGGATATCATCAGCGGCATATGCTAGATTGGCCAACATAAGAACTGCCTCTAGAAACCGGTGCAAAGCGTCATTCAGAACCTTATGTCAGACCAATCCTAGAGTATGCAGCTCCAGCCTGGAGTCCACACCTAGTTAAACATAGACATCAAATTTACATTTGAGGAGAGATTAATTAGTTACATTTTGTGATAGCATAATTACTTCTGTTGATAGGGTAATTACTTACTATTAATTCCATTTAATAATAAATAAAGGAAATATCTATAAGAATTGTTTTAAAATTAAGAAGAAATGTAATTCATTTTATAATGTTAAATATTATTTCCACCTCTGAGGAAGTGTTCTTGGTTAACATTAATCCGCTCAGGCTATATTAAATTAATCCGTACAGTGATTATATGTGAGTAATTAACTCTAATTACATCGATAAAATGACGTGGATTAATCCCCAGATTTACGTTAAGGATCTCTGATTATTCCCGAGGAAAATCCTTGTAATCCTCAACTCCCTTAGTTTCTGATATCCTCCACACGAGAGAATCCGTGGTTATCCTTGTTGGATATCCTGAATTGGGATGTGCATTGTTATCCTCGATCGTTATCTTTCACTGGGATGTGCACTGTTATCTTTATTGTTTATCTTTGTCTGGGATGTTCATTGTTATCGTTGGTTATTCTTCACTGCAGGTACATTGTTATCCTTGTTGGTTATCCTTCTTTGTTATGCTTATTGTTATCCCTCTATCCTTCCCTGGATAGTGAGGATAGAACTGTTACTTGTATTTGAGAGGCTGACTCATGTCTTAGTGTCTTACAGAGTTCTTAATGGTATGTTATCTTCTTGAGGTTATCTTGAGGTGATTTCGGGGCTTAGCGTCCCCGCGGCCCGGTCCTCGAACCGGGATCGACCGGGATCCGAAACCGGAACCTTAGGACTACGAATCCCGAGCGCTGTCCACTCAGCCGTCAGGCCCCTAAGATGTTCCCTCTTAGTTTGTGTTCTTCATTTCAGCTTCGTTATTTATCTCCACTTTGTGTGTTAACCGTTATCCCGTTATCTTGGAAGTGACGTGTTCTGATACCGTAATCTTCTTCTTGGAGTACCATCTGAGAAATGGACGCGTGTCCAAGCTGTGTGTACCTGGGGACACGTGTCCAAGCTGTGTGTACCTGGGGACACATGTCCAAGCTGTGTGTACCTGGGGACACGTGTCCAAGCTGTGTGTACCTGGGGACACGTGTCCAAGCTGTGTGTACCTGGGGACACGTGTCCAAGCTGTGTGTACCTGGGGACACATGTCCAAGCTGTGTGTACCTGGGGACACGTGTCCAAGCTGTGTGTACCTGGGGACACGTGTCCAAGCTGTGTGTACCTGGGGACACATGTCCAAGCTGTGTGTACCTGGGGACACATGTCCAAGCTGTGTGTACCTGGGGACACATGTCCAAGCTGTGTGTACCTGGGGACACATGTCCAAGCTGCGTGTACCTGGGGACACGTGTCCAAGCTGTGTGTACCTGGGGACACATGTTCAAGCTGTGTGTACCTGGGGACAAATGTCCAAGCTGTGTGTACCTGGGGACACGTGTCCAAGCTGTGTGTACCTGGGGACACATGTCCAAGCTGTGTGTACCTGGGGACACGTGTCCAAGCTGTGTGTACCTGGGGACACATGTCCAAGCTGTGTGTACCTGGGGACACGTGTCCAAGCTGTGTGTACCTGGGGACACGTGTCCAAGCTGTGTGTACCTGGGGACACATGTTCAAGCTGTGTGTACCTGGGGACAAATGTCCAAGCTGTGTGTACCTGGGGACACGTGTCCAAGCTGTGTGTACCTGGGGACACGTGTCCAAGCTGTGTGTACCTGGGGACACGTGTCCAAGCTGTGTGTACCTGGGGACACGTGTCCAAGCTGTGTGTACCTGGGGACACGTGTCCAAGCTGTGTGTACCTGGGGACACGTGTCCAAGCTGTGTGTACCTGGGGACACGTGTCCAAGCTGTGTGTACCTGGGGACACATGTCCAAGCTGTGTGTACCTGGGGACACGTGTCCAAGCTGTGTGTACCTGGGGACACATGTCCAAGCTGTGTGTACCTGGGGACACATGTCCAAGCTGCGTGTACCTGGGGACACGTGTCCAAGCTGTGTGTACCTGGGGACACATGTTCAAGCTGTGTGTACCTGGGGACAAATGTCCAAGCTGTGTGTACCTGGGGACACGTGTCCAAGCTGTGTGTACCTGGGGACACGTGTCCAAGCTGTGTGTACCTGGGGACACGTGTCCAAGCTGTGTGTACCTGGGGACACGTGTCCAAGCTGTGTGTACCTGGGGACACGTGTCCAAGCTGTGTGTACCTGGGGACACGTGTCCAAGCTGTGTGTACCTGGGGACACATGTCCAAGCTGTGTGTACCTGGGGACACGTGTCCAAGCTGTGTGTACCTGGGGACACGTGTCCAAGCTGTGTGTACCTGGGGACACGTGTCCAAGCTGTGTGTACCTGGGGACACGTGTCCAAGCTGTGTGTACCTGGGGACACATGTCCAAGCTGTGTGTACCTGGGGACACGTGTCCAAGCTGTGTGTACCTGGGGACACGTGTCCAAGCTGTGTGTACCTGGGGACACATGTCCAAGCTGTGTGTATCTGGGGACACATGTCCAAGCTGCGTGTACCTGGGGACACGTGTCCAAGCTGTGTGTACCTGGGGACACATGTTCAAGCTGTGTGTACCTGGGGACAAATGTCCAAGCTGTGTGTACCTGGGGACACGTGTCCAAGCTGTGTGTACCTGGGGACACATGTCCAAGCTGTGTGTACCTGGGGACACGTGTCCAAGCTGTGTGTACCTGGGGACACATGTCCAAGCTGTGTGTACCTGGGGACACGTGTCCAAGCTGTGTGTACCTGGGGACACGTGTCCAAGCTGTGTGTACCTGGGGACACATGTCCAAGCTGTGTGTACCTGGGGACACGTGTCCAAGCTGTGTGTACCTGGGGACACGTGTCCAAGCTGTGTGTACCTGGGGACACATGTCCAAGCTGTGTGTACCTGGGGACACGTGTCCAAGCTGTGTGTACCTGGGGACACATGTCCAAGCTGTGTGTACCTGGGGACACGTGTCCAAGCTGTGTGTACCTGGGGACACATGTCCAAGCTGTGTGTACCTGGGGACACGTGTCCAAGCTGTGTGTACCTGGGGACACATGTCCAAGCTGTGTGTACCTGGGGACACGTGTCCAAGCTGTGTGTACCTGGGGACACATGTCCAAGCTGTGTGTACCTGGGGACACGTGTCCAAGCTGTGTGTACCTGGGGACACAAGTCCAAGCTGCGTGTACCTGGGGACACGTGTCCAAGCTGTGTGTACCTGGGGACACGTGTCCAAGCTGTGTGTACCTGGGGACACATGTCCAAGCTGTGTGTACCTGGGGACACGTGTCCAAGCTGCGTGTACCTGGGGACACATGTCCAAGCTGTGTGTACCTGGGGACACATGTCCAAGCTGTGTGTACCTGGGGACACATGTCCAAGCTGTGTGTACCTGGGGACACATGTCCAAGCTGCGTGTACCTGGGGACACATGTCCACGCCAGGTAAGTGGTTAGATTTCAGTAATTGTGAAAGTGATAGTGATGATCACCAGGAGATTGGAGAGTGCAGATACCTTAGTAATCTCTACAATATCATGTTGTCTTGGCTACTCTCTCTGGCCAACTACAACAGCCTGAAACATCATATTCTCGATTTCCGTTAATTAGTTGGTAATTTTTTTTAATTGTCAGGGGAAAGCGCCAAGCCATTACGATTTTATAGCGCTTGGAAGGGGTCAGGATAAGGATTTGGGATGGGACAGGGGGGGGGAGAAATGGTGCCCAACCACTTGTGGACGGTCGGGGATTGAACGCCGACCTGCATGAAACGAGACCGTCACTCTACCGTCCAGTCAAAGTGGTTGGGCTAATTAGTCAGTACCTAGCCCTCGGTACCATGCATGTGCTCCTTACTGCTAGCAGCAGCTAGTAGCGTAAACAAGAGACACTCGCTGCTAGTGAGCTACAGCTGAACACTCGCAACTTAATATAATAAGTTACTTGAAGTTTATATATATATATATATATATATATATATATATATATATATATATATATATATATATATATATATATATATATGCATATATATATAATCTCAGTAAGTTATGGCGAGATAGTTAGTTTAATTTAGTTATGTCCACATTGGAAGGACCAAAATTAATGTAGGAACAGTGGAGATTGACTCGGGTGAAGTTACTGTTACTTCAGGCCAATAACGAGTCCATACTCACTTACATTTGTTTCCGCCTCCACCGGGGATCGAACCCGGAACTTCAGGATTACGAATCCAGAGCGTTGTCCACTCAGCCCGTAGGCTGCTGCTACTTCAGCCAATGACGAGTGCAAACTCACCTACAATTATCCACACCAAAAACACTATCATGTATTTTGTCAATTTATGCAATAACAAATCACCATACTCAATAATTTGTTTATTATTAAAAAAAATAATACAATATTTCACAGTATTTTCACTAATAATTCATACTTTTAGAAAATAGATTTACTGGAGGTTGTGATGATGGCTTTAACTAGAATTACGGCTAGTTTATGTTAAAATGTTGAGCACCATGAGGCAGGGGCTCAACAAGTGGTGCGAGCCCCATGGTGCAGGGGCTCAACAAGTGGTGAGAGCACCATGGTGCAGGGGCTCAACAAGTGGTGAGAGCACCATGGTGCAGGGGCTCAACAAGTGGTGCGAGCACCATGGTGCAGGGGCTCAACAAGTGGTGCGAGCACCATGGTGCAAGGGCTCAACAAGTGGTGCGAGCACCATGGTGCAGGGGCTCAACAAGTGGTGCGAGCACCATGGTGCAGGGGCTCAACAAGTGGTAAGAGCACCATGGTGCAAGGGCTCAACAAGTGGTGAGAGCACCATGGTGCAGGGGCTCAACAAGTGGTGCGAGCCCCATGGTGCAGGGGCTCAACAAGTGGTGAGAGCCCCATGGTGCTGGGGCTCAACAAGTGGTGAGAGCACCATGGGGCTGGGGCTCAACAAGTGGTGAGAGCACCATGGTGCAGGGGCTCAACAAGTGGTAAGAGCACCATGGTGCAAGGGCTCAACAAGTGGTGAGAGCACCATGGTGCAGGGGCTCAACAAGTGGTGCGAGCCCCATGGTGCAGGGGCTCAACAAGTGGTGAGAGCCCCATGGGGCTGGGGCTCAACAAGTGGTGAGAGCACCATGGTGCAGGGGCTCAACAAGTGGTGAGAGAACCATTGGGGCAGGAGCTCATCAAGTGGTGAGAGCACCATGGTGCAGGGGCTCAACAAGTGGTGAGAGCACCATGGGGCAGGGGCTCAACAAGTGGTGAGAGCACCATGGTGCAGGGGCTCAACAAGAGGTGAGAGCCCCATGGTGCAGGGGCTCAACAAGTGGTGAGAGCCCCATGGTGCTGGGGCTCAACAAGTGGTGAGAGCACCATGGGGCAGGGGCTCAACAAGTGGTGAGAGCACCATGGGGCTGGGGCTCAACAAGTGGTGAGAGCCCCATGGGGCTGGGGCTCAACAAGTGGTGAGAGCCCCATGGGGCAGGAGCTCAACAAGTGGTGAGAGCCCCATGGTGCTGGGGCTCAACAAGTGGTGAGAGCACCATGGGGCTGGGGCTCAACAAGTGCTGAGAGCACCATGGGGCAGGATCTCAACAAGTGGTGAGAGCCCCATGGTGCTGGGGCTCAACAAGTGGTGAGAGCACCATGGTGCAGGAGCTCAACAAGTGGTGAGAGCGACATGGTGCAGGGGCTCAACAAGTGGTGAGAGCACCCTGGTGCAGGGGCTCAACAAGTGGTGAGAGCCCCATGGGGCAGGAGCTCATCAAGTAGTGAGAGCCCCATGAGGCAGGGGCTGAACAAGTGGTGAGAGCCCCATTGTGCAGGGGCTCAACAAGTGGTGAGAGCCCCATGGTGCAGGTGCTCAACAAGTGGTGAGAGCACCATGGTGCAGGGGCTTAACAAGTGATGAGAGCACCATGGGGCAGGGGCTCAACAAGGGTTGAGAACCCCATGGGGCAGGGGCTCAACAACTGGTAAGAGCACTATGGTGCAGGGGCTCAACAAGTGGTGAGAGCACCATGGGGCAGGGGCTCAACAAGGGGCGAGAGCACCATGGGGATGGGGCTCAACAAGTGGTGAGAGCCCCATGGTGCTGGGACTCAACAAGTGGTGAGAGCCCCATGGGGCAGGAGCTCAACAAGTGGTGAGAGCACCATGGTGCTGGGGCTCAACAAGTGGTGAGAGCACCATGGGGCTGGGGCTCAACAAGTGTTGAGAACACCATGGTGCTGGGGCTCAACAAGTGGTGAGAGCACCATGGGGCTGGAGCTCAACAAGTGGTGAGAGCACCATGGGGCAGGGGCTCAACAAGTGGTGAGAGCACCATGGTGCTGGGGCTCAACAAGTGGTGAGAGCACCATGGGGCTGGAGCTCAACAAGTGGTGAGAGCACCATGGGGCTGGGGCTCAACAAGTGGTGAGAGCACCATGGGGCTGGGGCTCAACAAGTGCTGAGAGCACCATGGGGCAGGATCTCAACAAGTGGTGAGAGCCCCATGGTGCTGGGGCTCAACAAGTGGTGTGAGCACCATGGTGCAGGAGCTCAACAAGTGGTGAGAGCCCCATGGTGCAGGGGCTCAACAAGTGGTGAGAGCACCCTGGTGCAGGGGCTCAACAAGTGGTGAGAGCCCCATGGGGCAGGAGCTCATCAAGTAGTGAGAGCCCCATGAGGCAGGGGCTGAACAAGTGGTGAGAGCCCCATTGTGCAGGGGCTCAACAAGTGGTGAGAGCACCATGGGGCAGGGGCTCAACAAGGGTTGAGAGCCCCATGGGGCAGCGGCTCAACAACTGGTAAGAGCACCATGGTGCAGGGGCTCAACAAGGGGTGAGAGCACCATGGGGCTGGGGCTCAACAAGTGGTGAGAGCCCCATGGTGCAGGTGCTCAACAAGTGGTGAGAGCACCATGGTGCAGGGGCTTAACAAGTGATGAGAGCACCATGGGGCAGGGGCTCAACAAGGGTTGAGAACCCCATGGGGCAGGGGCTCAACAACTGGTAAGAGCACTATGGTGCAGGGGCTCAACAAGTGGTGAGAGCACCGTGGGGCAGGGGCTCAACAAGGGGTGAGAGCACCATGGGGATGGGGCTCAACAAGTGGTGAGAGCCCCATGGTGCTGGGGCTCAACAAGTGGTGAGAGCCCCATGGGGCAGGAGCTCAACAAGTGGTGAGAGCACCATGGTGCTGGGGCTCAACAAGTGGTGAGAGCACCATGGGGCTGGGGCTCAACAAGTGGTGAGAGCACCATGGGGCTGGGGCTCAACAAGTGTTGAGAACACCATGGTGCTGGGGCTCAACAAGTGGTGAGAGCACCATGGGGCTGGGGCTCAACAAGTGGTGAGAGCCCCATGGTGCTGGAGCTCAACAAGTGGTGAGAGCACCATGGGGCAGGGGCTCAACAAGTGGTGAGAGCACCATGGTGCTGGGGCTCAACAAGTGGTGAGAGCACCATGGGGCTGGAGCTCAACAAGTGGTGAGAGCACCATGGTGCTGGGGCTCAACAAGTGGTGAGAGCACCATGGGGCTGGAGCTCAACAAGTGGTGAGAGCACCATGGGGCAGGGGCTCAACCCCATGTAATTAATTAATTACCTCCTAATTAGGCTGATGTAGGCCTGATACATTAATAATTAGTATAGATTTACTGAACCCCTTTGATTGGCAATTATTAACAATGCAGATAATTTATTGGCATTGACACACTCTAAAATAAACTGCATTTAAGGAATAATTTTAAATAATCCCCGAGACAAATGTATCAGATAAACTCATCCTCGTGATGGGGTTCGAACCTGGGACAAACAGGTGCTCCATACACTAGCATATCCAGCACCATACCCACTAGACCACAGCTAGCTGTTAAACAGTCAACTGGGGGTCTAGTGGGCAATGGGGAATTTTTGCTTTAATTGGTGAGTGGACCAATTACATAGACTTCTTGTCCAGTCACATATAGATAGGGCTTATCTGTTTGTATACAGGCAGTATATATCTGTATATATCTTTCCACACTCATGAACATACACAAGCTCTCGTGTATGTCTGCAGACAAGCTCTGCTGGACGTTCATACACAAGCTCTCGTGTATGTCTGCAGACAAGCTCTGCTGGACGTTCATACACAAGCTCTAGTGTATATCTGCTGACAAGCTCTGCTTGACGTTCATACACAAGCACTATGGTCTAATGAACGTATTTGCAATCTCCCATGAGCATACATACACACGCTCACATGAATGTACACAGACTCACGTTCCTATAGTTAGTTTAGACCAAAGAGCTAGAGCTCAACCCCCGCAAGCACAACTAGGTGAGTACAAGCTCTCATGAACACATAAGCTGTAACAGTTGTCAGGGCCCACCCTCTCTCCCCCCCCCCCCACCAGTGCTGCTCCACCCATCTCTAGTCTCCCTCTGTGGCCCACATGTTCAGGTCTACCACAGGATAGTCTCCCTCTGTGGCCCACATGTTCAGGTCTACCACAGGATAGTCTCCCTCTGTGGCCCACATGTTCAGGTCTACCACAGGATAGTCTCCCTCTGTGGCCCACATGTTCAGGTCTACCACAGGATAGTCTCCCTCTGTGGCCCACATGTTCAGGTCTACCACAGGATGGAGCCATATTTCTAATTGACATTGGGTCAATGTGGGGGTTAATTGACGGTCACTTGACCTCTCTGGCTGACCTCCTGACCTTTCACTCTAACCTCCAGCCCTTTCTTTCTACCTCTCTGGAGGTCAGGAGGCCCCCTGTCTCGACCAGGCCTAGTGATTAGACATGGTTTCTGTGATTGGGCTCTGTATGCCAAATAGGAGTTTCATGGTCGGTGGGTGTAAGTCCTTCCAGGAGTCGACAGTGAGAGTTGAACTGTGAGTGGGGCAACACCTAGACTCTTGGGCCAAGGAAAACCGGTTGTGTAAACTCGGTTGGAATCACAAATTAAGGTAATTGTTCCCTAAATGTTCAATTGCTAATAAGTCAACCATCGCCAGCTAGGTTAGGGACGTACTTGATTTTTAATTAATTAATTTTACATTAATGTCTATTTGGAATTAGTTAATTTTCCTGTCATTCAAATTTCGGCATATATGATCTTGAATTTACTGGGACCTTGGCCTTGTTCAGGGATGTCTCCAAGTACTTGGATATCTAAAGTAATTATCAACACTTGAGTAATTATCAAAGTGGTAATCTAATTCCCATTCTATCGGGTCCTGTCCTCTCTCCTCTGGGTCAAGACAGTGCTAAGTACAGCTATTAACATCAATTACATTGCTTGAGAGGTGACCACGTGGTCTCGTGGCTATGAGGGCAGAACACGTGGTCATGAGGGCGGAACACGTGGTCACGAGGGCGGAACACGTGGTCATGAGGGCGGAACACGTGGTCATGAGGGCGGAACACGTGGTCACGAGGGCGGAACACGTGGTCACGAGGGCGGAACACGTGGTCACGAGGGCGGAACACGTGGTCACGAGGGCGGAACACGTGGTCACGAGGGCGGAACACGTGGTCACGAGGGCGGAACACGTGGTCACGAGGGCGGAGCACGTGGTCACGAGGGCGGAACACGTGGTCACGAGGGCGGAACACGTGGTCACGAGGGCGGAACACGTGGTCACGAGGGCGGAACACGTGGTCACGAGGGCGGAACACGTGGTCACGAGGGTGGAACACGTGGTCACGAGGGCGGAACACGTGGTCACGAGGGCGGAACACGTGGTCACGAGGGCGGAACACGTGGTCACGAGGGCGGAACACGTGGTCACGAGGGCGGAACACGTGGTCACGAGGGCGGAACACGTGGTCACGAGGGCGGAACACGTGGTCACGAGGGCGAAACACGTAGTCACGAGGGCGGAACACGTGGTCACGAGGGCGGAACACGTGGTCACGAGGGCGGAACACGTGGTCACGAGGGCGGAACACGTGGTCACGAGGGCGGAACACGTGGTCACGAGGGCGAAACACGTGGTCACGAGGGCGGAACACGTGGTCACGAGGGCGGAACACGTGGTCACGAGGGCGGAACACGTGGTCACGAGGGCGGAACACGTGGTCATGAGGGCAGAGCACGTGGTCACGAGGGCGGAACACGTGGTCACGAGGGCGGAACACGTGGTCACGAGGGCATGAGGAACAACACAGGAAATATTTACAGGACGGCTACTACAGATTCTCTCACCAACTGGTGAGGGAATTTGAGGGAGAGTTGAGGAAATTGGAATGTCCGGTGTCTTGAGTGGTGGCTTGAGCGGTGGTTTGAGCTGTGTCTTGAGTGGTGGCTTGAACGGTGGTTTGAGCTGTGTCTTGAGTGGCGGCTTGAGCGGTGGTTTGAGCTGTGTCTTGAGTGGTGGCTTGAGCGGTGGTTTGAGCTGTGTCTTGAGCGGTGGCTTGAACGGTGTCTTGAGCGGTGTCTTGAGCGGTGTCTTGAGCGGTGGCTTGAGCGGTGGCTTGAGTGGTGTGTTGAGCGGTGTCTTGTACAATGACAAACATAGGACATATGACCAGATCAGGGAATAATATAATTAAAAGAGCATTTTGATGGAGGGAAGAAATTTTTCTCGAATGAAAGAAAGAAGAAAATAAACTGCAAGAAAAGATGGTGAGACTGAGAGAGTGGACTGAATCGTATTACAAAGAGAAAATGGGAAAGATGAGAACAGGGAAGTAAGAGATTAAGGAAGACTGGGAAGTAAATTAGAAGAACTTGAAACATGCATAACGAAAGTGGTACGAGATTGGAGAATGAGGGGGACGAGGAAGCAAGATTAAATAAACTTGGGAATGAACATGGCATCATGAGGGGTCAGTGAAGAGAATGAGGAGGGAAATAGGGGAGAAGAGGACAGGGGATTAAAGCAGAAGAGGGATATTGCGAGGATTAATTGGAGTGGAAGTGAAATCGAGGCAGGAATAACTGCTCTTTGAAAGGATGCAATTGGAAGGGGTTTTGAAATGCTTGGATGCTGAATCCTGCTGAATTGCTGAATGCTGAACTGGTGGCTGAGGAAATGATTGTGACACAGAAAGGTGACTCACAATGTCGCTGTGTCAGACATGGAAGGAAAGTTCCACTTGTTCTGTTTCAGGTTTGCTATACGCTGCGATTTACAGAAGGTGATTATAATGTATTCATTGACAAATTTATAACGTAAGTGGAACAGCAGATAATAGGGCAAGGATCCTTCACACTCCCCTCTCTTCTCCTACACCCCAACCCCACACCCTCCTCCACCAACACCCCCCCACCCCACAAACACACCCTCTCCACCCCACAAACACACCCTCTCCACCCCACACTCCACTAACACCCCCACTCCACCTCTTCACCATCACCCCCACCCCACACAGCCCCATCTCCACCAACACCCCCACCCCCACACAAACATAACCACTGTAGCCTTTGTCACCCCCCCTAACTCTGACCCCACCACAGCTCCTTCCCCTCACCAACTCTCACTACACCAAGGTTGCTTCCTCCCCCACTGGATCACAAGTCCAGTGTGCTGTCCACTCGGCCGACCGGCTCCCCCTGGTCGGCCCCGCGGCCTGGTCGAGGACCGGGCCGCGGGGACGCTAAGCCCCGAAATTATCTCAAGATAACCCCTCACCTTCTCTGGCTTCCTCACACATCCTCAGCGGCCGTTTTATTTTATATATTTATATATAGGGGAGCCGGTCGGCCGAGCGGACAGAACGCGGGATTTGTGATCCTGTGGTCCTGGGTTCGATCCCAGGCGCCGGCGAGAAACAATGGGACAGAGTTTCCTTCACCCTATGCCCCTGTTACCTAGCAGTAAAATAGGTACCTGGGAGTTAGACAGCTGTCACGGGCTGCTTCCTGGGGGTGGAGGCCTGGTCGAGGACCGGGCCGCGGTGACACTAAAAAAGCCCCGAAATCATCTCAAGATAACCTGAAGATACAAGAGTTGTTACATTCTTGTACGGCCAGCAGCACGCGTAGCGTTACGGGCGGGTTCCCTGGACCACGACCCGCCAAATGGTTTAACAGCCAGGTACCCATTTACTGCTGGGTGAACAGAGGCTACAGTTAAGGTTTGGCGTTCAGTCAACCCTTCCCGAGCATCAGGTAATACTCCTTCACGTAAACTCATTCTGTACAACACTAATAATGGATTACCTGGTACGTGTGAGACTAATCTCAGTAGACTGTAAGTAATACCATCCTCTCCAGGAGCAGTTGATTTTCCCATCTTTAGTGCATGATTTAATTCCCATTCAGTTACATCATTAAGGTCCGACACGTCGATAGCTGTACAGGCAAGATTGATGGTTCGTTGTCTGTTGGGGCGTGTGTCATCAAGTTTGTGCTGTATGTTAATGGACAAAGACAAAGAGTGTATGGACAAAGAGTGTCATTGTTCCTATCCCCAAACCACACTCAGATAATTATAGACCCATATCTTTAACATCGTGTGTTTGTAAAGTGCTTGAACGTATTGTTCTTAACCGACTCATGTATCGTATACAGGGGCACCTGTCACCCCAACTGTTTGGATTTATGCCTGGGCTCAGTACACAACACTGTTTTGCTGAGTACTTCGCACATATTGAAGCTTCCCCTCAAACAGTCTTCATCGACCTAGCAGCAGCTTTTGATACAGCAAACAGAGGAATCATACTGGAACAGCTTGCCGAGCTGGGAATACAAGGAAAATTACTGAAATGGATAAAGGGCTATTTGTCTAATCGAACAGCATATGTTTTGTTTAATGGTGTTAAAAGCACAGAGAGCAAACACTTTGAACTGGGAACTCCACAAGGAGGGGCCCTCAGCCCCTTGTTGTTCAACGTTCTGATGCATAAACTTATTAAAGATCTTCCAACTAATAATGAAGACACTGTCATTTGTTATGCTGATGATATATGTTTACAGGCTGCCACCGAGCCTAGAATGCAAGTTCTGCTCGACGCTTTTGCTACTAGAGCTGAGGAATGTGGCCTCCTTATCTCTGTACAGAAAACTCGTGCCCTCATTCCATGTGGTATTCCACCACCCAATTATCATATAGATGGGCGAGCACTTGAGAACTGCGAGTCTTACAGATACCTTGGTGTCCCCATTAACGACCCTGGGTACCTTTCTTCTCTCAAGAGGAGACTTTGGGAGAGATTAAAGCCCTTGCGGGTCCTTGTTGGTGTCAATCATGGGCTTAACGTGAGACTTGCTAGAATGTTTTATGTATCATTTATACGCTCTGTGATTGACTACAATGCTCTACATCTCACACTGTATACTGACAAAGAGCTGAAATCTCTTGAAACCTTGCAAAATGAAGCTATGCGTCTCATCCTTGGGGCTCCAAAGTCCACGAGAATAGTTAATATGAGAGCAGAGTTAAAATTACCTACCATAAGTGAGAGAATCTTGTCTATTAGCACAGTTTTCGACGTGAAGGCATTGAGTAGATCTAGACAACACATGAAGTTTCAAGCTAAACCTTCTAATATGCTACACTCACCTGAGGTCTATAGAAGAAGAACGAAATCTGATTATGTATATTGGTTCTACAAGGTAGCCAACTCCATCAAAATATTAAATATGTACCCAACTCGACTAATGATTAATCAGCCAATTACTCCATGGGATAACTGGGATCTATCAGTTGATTTTGTAAATGCGCCCAAGAAAGATAGTGTGCACACTACATTGTTAAAACAGTTAACACTGAAAAGCATCACTGAAAGTACTCAGAGTATGGGTAACGATGTTTATCAGTGCTATACCGACGGCTCTGTAGAAGAAGGTGGACGATGTACCGGATGTGCATGTAACATATTTGAACAATCTTCTCTCGTACATACAGCAATGAAGCGCGTCAATGACTGGGCAAGTACAACTCAAACCGAACTTGCAGGCATATACCTTGCCACTGAATTTTTAAAAGACAAAGGCAGTGGACTTATATACTGTGACTCGCAGAGTGCACTCCTGGCATTGAACGCACATAGTAGTGACACCCAGAAAATAGTCAGTGATATTCGAATGAATGTTTTAGCTGCCAAAGAAAACAGATTTGAGATTAAATTCCTATGGATACCATCACATGTTGGCATCTCAAGGCATGACACTGTTGATATGCTTGCTAAGTCAGCTTGCAGAAAACCAGTGGTAGAAATTGATATGGGTGTTTCATTAGCAGTGACAAAGAGAATACTTAAACAAATATCTAATGAAAATCTCACCGACCTAACAAATTCTCAAAGACCTGAAAGTTGTAGCATTAAATATTATGATAGATATCGTGAGGAGACATTCACATATGGGACTAATAGAACAAGAACCCGGCAATGTGATGTTATAGTGGCCAGAATACGCCTGGGATATAGACGTATCTGGCAGCTTTCTCAAAACCCAAATGTCGAGTACACAATGTGTCAACTTTGTGAAAGAGAAAACATGCACTCTCTTGAACATTATATTGTAGAATGTCCCATACTGACTGACTTTCGCCCTCCTGGGCTAAGGTATGCTGAACTCTGTAGTTACTATATGAGTACTGGAACACTTGATGATATATTGGACTTGTATCCAAAATTGACCATGTAATGTATCAATCATACAATGTATGTATGTGATGTAACTATATAACCTGAGCTTGTAAAAGCACCTTCATCACCTTCAGTGATTAAGTGCTTAATTGCACACTAGTTTCTTTATCAGCTACCTCACCCTGTCAGGGTAAATGAGACAAATGTATGTGAATGCATGTATGTGTGTATATATGTATGTGTATGTGTGTGTGTGTATGTATATGTATGGGTATAAAGCATATATGGAAGCTGATCAGAATTACATTTCACCTTTGTGAATGTACATTAATGACACTATGTAAAAGACACATCTAATACTTTATGTAGGGCGTACGTAAATCTGTGTATCTATGTATTTACGTATGTAGGTTAGCTTAGCATTTTAAAAGCACCGAATCACCTTCTGTGGTTGAGTGTTCAATAAACCCTTGAACTATATGTTTAACACTTCTCTAACCCTGTCCATGGAGGACAGAAGAAAATGTATATATGCTGGTTAGCATTGTAAATGTGTGGCCACGTCTGTGGTAGAAAATAATAAAAAAAATAAAAAATAAAAAAAAAATCCTCCCCGGCCAGGATACGAACCCAGGCCAAAGTGGTCGGGAAGCGCCGGGCGAGTGTCTTACCACTGCGC